CTCCGCACTAGAATCACGAACATAAGCTAAATAGGCCAAGCACCCCTTCTCGACCATACACCGAGCCTTCACATAAGAAATAACGCTACGGGTAGAATGACCAAGAGTTCTTCTCCACTCTAAACGAGGCATACCTGGTAAAGCTAAGGTCACAATCTTGGCATGACAGTTCAAGATAGCATGGTAAGGTGATAACCAGTCCATCCCCAATATAGCATCGAAGTCGACCATGTCTAGAAACAACAAATCCACACGAGTCTCAAGACCCCCAATCACAACTACACAAGAGTGATGGACTCGATCTACCATAATAGAATCACCCACCGGTGTAGACACATAAACAGGAACACTCAATGAATCACTAGGCATGATCAGATACGGTGTAAAATAAGATGACACATACGAGTATGTAGACCCTGGATCAAATAACACTGAAGCATCTCTATCATAAACCAGAACCGTACCTGTGATCACTGCATCTGAAGACTCAGCCTCCGGCTTGGATAGAAGGGCATAACATCGGGGCTAGGCCCCACCACCCTGAACTACCTCTCTAGGACGGCCTACTGCTGGCTGGCCTCCACCTCTGGCAGCCTGAGCTCCACCTCTAGGACCTCTACCTCCACCTCTAGCACCTCTACCCCTACCTTTAGCTGGCTGGGCGGGCTGTGGAACATCTAGTGCCTAAATCATAGCACGGGAACCTTGATGCAGAGAACTGCCCGAAACTCGAGGGCAATACCTAGCAATATGCCTCAGGTCGCCATAAGTAAAACAAGTTCTCGCCTGCTGGGGCTGACGACCCTGAAAACTCTAAAGCGATGGTGCACTGATAGGTGCTAGTGGTGCGCTGAAGGACTGGTGGTTAGAATACTGCATCAGAGGACCACGGCTACCGGAAGCACCGTGAGAAACCTAGAGAGCTGACTGAAAGGGCCTAGGAGGATGTCCTCTACCATATGAATCTCTACCTCCAGACGAGGTACCACTGAATATGCCTGAATTACGGGGCCTCTTATCCGACCCATGACCACCTCCATGTGACAAAACCATCTCAACTCTACGGGCCACATTGACCGCTTCCTGAAAAGTGATCTCACTCCCGGGCTCCTTGGACATCTGAAGACGAATCGGCTAAATAAGATCGTCGATAAACTTCCCCACCCTCTCTCTCTAGGTAGGAAGTATGACAAGAGCATGGCGAGCTAAGTCAATGAACCTGGTCTCATACTGGGTGACCATCATAGAACCCTGCTGGAGGCGCTCAAACTGCCTCTAATAGGCCTCTTTCTGAGTCATGGGGAGGAACTTCTCCAGAAACAACACTGTAAATTGCTCCCAAGTCAAAGATGGCGACCCGGCTGTCCTAGCTAAGCAATAATCACTCCACCAAGTCTTGGCGGATCCAGACAAACGGAATGTAGTAAAATTGACCCCATTGGTCTCAACAATGCCCATGTTCCTGAGAACCTCGTGATAACTATATAGGAAATCCTGGGGATCCTCAGAAGAAGCACCGCTGAAAGTAGTAGTGAAGAGCTTGGTGAACTTATCCAACCTCCACAAAGCATCGCCGGACATAGCCGCTCCATCGCCGGTCTGAGCTATGGCACCCGGTTGAACTGCTCCAACTGGCTGAACTGCTGGAGTCTGAATTTGGGGAGCTACCTGCTCCGGAGTGCGTATAGCAGGAGTCTAAGCCCCTCTTCCAGCCTGAGAGATGGTTGGTGCTACAGGGAGCAAGCCTTCCCGGGTGACACTCTCCATGAGGCCCACTAATCGGACTAGAGCATCCTGAAGAACAGGGGTAGCAATAAACCCCTCTAGGACCTGAGCTGGGCTTACCAGAATTGCTAGGGCCGGAACCTCCTCCTCAAAATCAACCTGAGGCTCTGCCACTGGTGCTGCTGCTCGGGGATGAACCCTGCCTCTACCTCGTATGTTCGGAATCGAATTTTGAGGTCCCAAGCCCGAGAAATGAATTTTTTAAATGAAATTATTTTCAGAAATTGTTTAAGAAAATTTGAAATGAAAACTGATTAGAAAGCAATGGTATAGGGCCCGTATTTTGGTTCCGACACCCGGTACAGGTCTTATATATCACTTGAGTCATTCATGTGAAATTTGGTTAAAAGCGGATGTCGTTTGACACGATCCGGACCTTAATTGAGAAATTTGATATTTAAAAGAGTTTTGAGAAATTTTATTGATCTCGAGGTTTAATTTGATGCTCGTGATATTATTTTGGTAATTTGATTACACGAATATGTCCGTAGGATATTTTTGAGGTTGTGTGTATACTTAGGTTGGAGTTTCGAGGGCTCGGGTGAGTTTCGAGTAGGTCCCGGGATGCCTTAGGCTTAGAAAGTCAGATGTTGCAGGTTCAGGAAGTTGCAGTCTCTGAACCCTCTAGTGCAGTCCGCGAGAAAACGCATGCGACCGCGGTCGCCTTTGTGCGGTCCGCTATGGAGGCTGTGCAGCCGCAGTCGCCTTTGTGCGGTCCGCACAGGGTGCTGAACTGCAGGTCTTCAGGGAGGTCTGTGCGGCCGCGGTCCATTTGATGCGGTCCGCACAGGGGGTCTGAGAAGGATATAAATAAACGGGAATTTCAATTATTTTTTACTTTTCAAAACCCAAAAAAAAAACATAAGAGACAATTTTTCAAACAACCTTTCTTCTCCAAAACGTTGGTATGTGATTTCTAACTCTTTTTCTTCACTCCTTAACATCTTTTACCATGATTTCAACTTCAAATCAAAGATTTTCATGGGGAAAATTGGGTGTTTTGGGTAGAATCTAGGTTTTTCTAAAATTGGGGATTTGGACCTCAATTTGAGGTCTGATTTCAAAAAAAATAATATATTGGGTTCGTGGGGGAATGGGTAACCAGGTTTTGGTCCGAACCTCATGTTTCGACCACGTGGGCCCGTGGGTGATTTTGACTTTTTGGGTGACACTTTGGGAAAAACTCATTTTCATGCATTGGGGTTGATTTATTTAGCACTTATTGATGTAATTAAGTAACTTGTGACTAGATTCGAGCGGATTGGTGGTGGAATCGAGGGGTAAAGTTATAATTGAGACTTGAGTGGTGTTCAAGGCATCGAGGTAAGTGTTTGGTATAACCCTAGCTTGAGAGATTAGGAGTTGAGTCATATTTGTTACTTGCTTCTTGTTGAGTACAACGTATAGGCATGGTGACGAGTATCTAAACGTTGGTGTCAAGCATGACCGTGGGTCTTAAACTAAAAGTTGTTGTGTTCTTGAATGACACTTTGTATGCTTTAATTAATGATCGTCTATGATTGAGCATTTCCATTAATTGAACTCAGTACCAGCTAAGTGAGATTGGTCATAGCTGATTCTCCCTTGCCGGGGTGACTATTTTGATATCGTTGTTCCCTGCCGGGAAATTTTTATATTGTTTTTGTTCCCTTGTCGGGAAGTTATTATACCACTTATGTTCCCTTGCTGGAATTTCTTGTGATTGTATGATGAACTGTAAATGGGAGCGGGTGGTACGCCTACCACAAGATATTATGAAATGAGAGTGGGTGGTACGCCTACCACAAGATTATTAAATGGGAGCGGGTGGTACGCCTACCAAAAGATAATGAAATGGGAGCGGGTGGTACGCCTACCACAAGATATTATGAAATGGGAGCGGGTGGTACGCCTACCACAAGATATGATGAAATGGGAGCGGGTGGTACACCTACCACAATATATGAGAAATGGGATTGGGTTGCACGCCTGCAACAAGATGGAAAACTGAAAGTGAAAGCTGTCTTTACTTCTCTTTATCTGTGTTAGAAGTTATATTGTTAGCTTTCTTGTTATTTCTTGTTATTTTGCTTTGTCAGCTACCCCCGAAACATGTTCCCCTTCCCCAGTTTTAATTGCTTATTATCTGTTTACTTTTCCGCCATATATTGTATAACTACACAGGTTTATCTTGAGTCTGGTCCTAGCCTCGTTACTACTTCACCGGGGTTAGGCCATGCACTTACCAGCACATGGGGTCGGTTGTGCTGATACTATACTCTGCACTGTATGCAGATCCTGAAGAAGCTTTTGGACAGTAGTTGGAGGGCTTCCTTCAATCCATCCGGAGACCCAAGGTAGACCTGCAGACGTCTGCGGGCCCTGGCGTCTCCCTCAATCTCTATTTCCTGTTTCCTTTATCTCTTGCTTAGGAACAATACTATGTATTTTCTTCAGACTTTGTGTATAGTGACTCTTAGACAGTCTGTGACACTATGACACCAGGTTTTGGGGTATTTGAGGTTTTAAAAGTTGTAATAGACGTAGCCTTCAGATATTTCATGATTATCTTCCGCTTGATTATTTAGGTTTTGTTGTTTTTATGTTATTGCTCGTAATTGTTAAAAAGAAGTAATTTGGTAGGGAATTAGATAGTTAAAGGTTGGCTTGCCTAACTCTCATTAGTAGGCGCCATCCGACTCTTGATGGTGGGAAATCCGGGTCGTGACAAGTTAGTATCAGAGCACTAGGTTACATGGGTCTCACAGTTCACAGACAAACTTAGTAGAGTCTGGGGGATCGGTACGGAGACGTCTGTATTTATCCCCTAGAGGCTACAGAGTTAGGAAAACTTCACATTTATTCTTTCTTGTCGTGCAGTTCTGTTTCCCAATACTGATTGAATTTCTACTCCGTTCTTTCGCAGATGGCGAGAACATGTGCTTCCTCATCTACTACTCAGCAGCCAGAGCCCCCAACAGCAGCTTCCACTAGGGGTAGAGGGCGAGGGCGAGGCCGTGCTAGATATTTTCCTACGGACCCTCCGGGACCGTCGAATCACGGATCCGTGTCCGTTCACCCAAAATATTGACTGAAGTCAGATTTATTCATTTTAACATCGAAACTTAGCATTTTTCATAGAGTTCCATATTTAAGCTTTCCAGCTACGCGCCCGGACTACGCACATAAATTGAGGTGACTCTAATGAGGTTTTCAAGGCCTCGGAGACACAAAAATCAACTGAAAGCAAATGATGACCCTTTTTGGGTCGTCACACCCTGTTTAGGGTAAGCAGAGCATTTGTATCAATTCTATCATGGTATCAGATACAAGCGGCGATCCTGAGTATTAATCCCATCATCGTTCGGTGTTTCTCTCTCTGGTGATTTCGTCTTCCCATTACTCTGTTGTTGTTCTTCTTCTACGTTCTATGCTGCTACGGGCACTTCGTCGGCTTCAGTTGGCTTCGGTTATTAACAATTCCTTCTAATTGTTCATTATATTTGCTTATTCACGTTGACTTTAAAGTGGGATTTCCTCTATCTACATTTATTCTTTGTGTCTTCATTAACAATGGACAAACTCTATCGATTATATCAATTGAGTTTAGGTATTGCCGCTATTTTCTTGTTATTGATTAAGTGTTATTAGTTGGGTAATCTTTTTATTGAAATTATATTCAATTTGCTTTGGTGCTTTCATTACTTTGGTGCAACATAATTCTTCTTGGATTAGCATTATTCTGCTTTTACATGATGACATCTGCAATCCCTTTCTCTGTTTATATAAAGAAATTGGTCCCTGAAATATTGCACCAAACTAATTATTTGAAATGGACTCACTTACTTCAACCGGTGTTGAAGATGTATGATCTTTTTGCCCATATTGATGGTTCTAATATGTCACCTTCACAATTTCTACATGTTATTGAGGGTTCATCATATGTTAAGCAAATCAATCCTGAATATGCAAAGTGGTGTAAGGTTGACCGTCTTATTATTACTTGGATTCATGCTACTATACATTTTGATCTCATTCCTTTACTCTATGATTGCTCTACTGCTACTGATACTTGGTCTAGGCTTAAAATACATTTTCTTCATCAGTCTACTGCCCGTGAGATGTAGTACATACATAGTCTTCAGACACTTAAAAAAGGAAACCTATCTATTGATTCGTACATGGCAAAGATACGTGAATTTGATGATTGCCTTCATTATATCGGTCGTGGAATGGATGACCCTGAATTGGTACGTTGTGCTTTGAATAGCCTTCTTGTCTCTTATGAATCATTTATTGTTATGGCTTCGAATATGTGCCCTCATCCAACTTTTGCAGAGTTGTGGACTATGCTCATTACCCACGAGGTGCGCACTCTGCCTACAAATGATGTACCCTCTGCTCCTCTGCCTATAGCTTTGTTAGATGGTTCATCTTCTGATGTTACTTCATCTTCTCCTGTTGGTCCATCTTCTGCCCATGGTAACTTTGGTCATTCTAGAAACTATCATCGTGGGCAATCTGGTCGTGGTCGTGGCTCTAGTCAACGAGGTCGTGGTTCTCCTTTTCAACAGTCTTATGGAGATCATTATCAGCATAATTGATGTAAAATAAAAATCTATGTTAAATTTTATTAATTTTGGCCAAGATAATATTTTAGAGCTCAAGTCAAAATATATGGGCTTATTTTCAAGAAGCGCAAAAAGTCCAAGAAGCTCAAGATTGATTTCAAGAAGCCAAGATTCTTTCCTTCTTAAAATAGGATTTATTTTATTCCTTTTAGAATAAGGATTTTCCTTTTAGTAGGATTCTAATTTCTTTTCCTTAATATAATAGGAATTGTAGTCATCAAAGAAGAGGCTCTAGGCCTATATAAAGGATTATCTTGCCTTATAGAAGAAAAAATCACGTTTTTGAGGCTTGCCCTAGTTTTACAATAGAGTGTTTTTCTATATTTTGTCTTCTTTATCCTTGTTTTTGGTTCCAAGCAAGGTGGTGATAGTCTTTATCTTGTTTTCAATTGCGTGTGGTGTTTCTTTAACACGTTAATTGATTCCAAGTGGTGACTTTAGGAACTTGTTTAGTTCTTGATCTTTCAAGAACACGTTTCTTGATCTAAATTCGTTTTTTTATCATAGGATCATAACTTTCCTTGAATAGGTGCATCATCAATATTTACTTGTTTTAAACGAGTAAATAGTCTTTCTTATAGTTCAGATCGTCATCTTTCATCTTGTTTTTGAATCATCAGATTCCGAGTCCTAAAGCTTGAGATACGTGATTTCCAAAAATCGGCTCATAAACCACATTTTCGTTTCAAGAACTTCATCCTGGTCGGTTGGTTCTTTGTTAACTCGAAGAATTTAATTTTGGCCAAGATAGTGTTTTAGAGCTCAAGTCAAAACATATGGACTTATTTTCAAGAAGCGCAAGAAGTCCAAGAAACTCAAGATTGATTTCAAGAAGCCAAGATCCTTTCCTTCTTAAAATAGGATTTATTTTATTCCTTTTAAAATAAGGATTTTCCTTTTAGTGTGATTCTAATTTCTTTTCCTTATAGAATAAGAATTTTACTTTCCTTTTCTTTAGTTATTTTATTTTCTTATTAGAATAGGAATTGTAGTCATCAGAGAAGAGACTCTAAGCCTATATAAAGGGTTCTCTTGCCTTGTAGAAGAAAAAATCATATTTTTTAGGCTTGCCCTAGTTTTACAATATAGTATTTTTCTCTATTTTGTCTTCTTTATCCTTGTTTTTGGTTTCAAGCAAGGTGGTGATGGTCTTTATCTTGTTTTCAATTGCGTGTGGTGTTTCTTTATCACGTTAATTGATTCCAAGTGGTGACTTTAGGAACTTGTTTCGTTCTTGATCTTTCAAGAACACGTTTTTTTATCTAAATTCGTTCTTTTGATACCAGAGAATCATAACTTTCATTGAACTGGTGCAACATCAATATTTACGTGTTTTGAAGGAGTAAATAGTCTTTCTATAGGTAAGATTATAGGGTCTTTCACCTCGTTTTTAAATCATCAGATTCCAAATCCTAAAACTTGAGATCGTTATTTCTTGAAATCGACTCACAAACCACGTTTACGTTTTAAGATCTTGATCCTGGTCGGTTGGTTCTTTGTTAACTCAAAGAATCACATCAATTTGGTATCAGAGTTATAACCTATATGCCCAAAGGTTGAGAAATCACCATGTCTAAGATTCAACCAAGAGGAGGATTCTTGGTTCAAGAAGATGAAGAAACGAGACAACATGAATCTCTTTTCCACACTAGATGTACCTCTCTTGGAAAAGTTTGTTCGTTGATTATTGATCGTGGGAGTCACATAAATATTGTTTATGAGGAGTTGGTTATTAAACTTGGTTTGTCAACCAAATTTTATCCATATCCTTACAACATCGAAGTTGAAGATGATGTTATTTTAGAGGTAACTCGTCAATGCCTAGTATCTTTTTCTATTGGTAAGATCTATAAAGACCAGATTTGATGTGACTTAGTGAAAATAGATGCTTGTCACTTATTACTTGGAAGACCATGGGTGTTTGATAGGTGTGCTAAATATGATGAATACCTTAATACCTATTTTTTTACAAAGTATAAACGTAAGATTATTTTAGTACCATTTAATCTAGAAGAAATTGCTAAAAGTCTGAAGCTCAATGATGCTTCTTTTCTGACCAAATTACAAATAATTGGTCCAATCAATAAAGAAAAGCCTTTGAACGTTGGTCCAATCAAGGAGGAGGAATATGAAGTGGATCTGCAAGTTGAAGATTTACCTCCAAAGTTTGATGATGATCCATTGGCATCCCATATATGAGATTAACTTTTCACCTAATAGAGATGACCAACATCATATTGATTTGATTGTTGACTCTAACCTTCCAAGCGAGGCAACAAGTTACATTAATCCAGAAGTCCATGAATTTTTGCAAATACGTGAGGAAGGGTTACTTAAAAAGGAGTACATAATGGAGGGTTTGAGTTCATATTTTGTTCCAATTTTTTTTCTTGCCCCCAAAGGATGAATATTTTCAAGAATATGTTGGAACAAAAGATCTCAAAACAAATTCCATCAATATATATGATTTAGTTAAATATAAGACTGTTGTTGCTGATGAATTCTCAAGAAGATATACTTTGATTTTCAAGATAGATCCAAAGGTACTTGAATTTGATTCTTCTAAGGACTTTCGTGGTACTAAATCGACTTTTTTTTGCCATACCCCATAAGCACCACATTGACATGGAGAAGTTCAAGATTCCTGAAGATAAAAACAAAACAACTTACGATTATGGATTAGTGTTTGAAAATCTATTTAGGAGGATTTATTGCAGAAATATTGGTACAGAGTTACTATTGAGAACGTGAGATTTAGTTCGGCCACATGCTAAGCCTTGTTACAATAAGATAAAGCTCTTTGACAAGTTAGAAAAATATAACTTAGAGCCTGGTAAATATGAGTTCAACTAAATCATGAAAATTGTCAATATTGTGCTATTTGTGGAGCCTTTAGACTCGAGGACGAGTCTTTCTCAACCAGGGGAGAATGATGTAAAAGAAAAATCTATGTTAAATTTTATTAATTTGGCCAAGATAATGTTTTAGAGCTCAAGTCAAAACATATGGACTTATTTTCAAGAAGCGCAAGAAGTCCAAAAAGCTCAAGATTGATTTCAAGAAGCCAAGATCCTTTCCTTCTTAAAATGAGATTTATTTTATTCCTTTTAAAATAAGGATTTTTCTTTTAGTGGGATTCTAGTTTCTTTTCCTTGTAGAATATGGATTTTACTTTCCTTTTCTTTAGTTATTTTATTTTCTTATTAGAATAGGAATTGTAGCTATGGGCCTATATAAAGGGTTCTCTTGCCTTGTAGAAGAAACAATCACATTTTTGAGGCTTGCCCTAGTTTTACAATAGAGTGTTTTTCTCTATTTTGTCTTCTTTATCCTTGATTTTGGTTCCAAGCAAGGTGGTGATAGTCTTTATCTTATTTTTAATTGCGTGTGGTGTTTCGTTATCACGTTAATTGATTCCAAGTGGTGACTTTAGGAACTTGTTTAGTTCTTGATCTTTCAAGAACACATTTTTTGATCTAAATTCGTTCTTTTGATATCATAGAATCATAACTTTCATTGAACTGGTGCAATATCAGTATTTACTTGTTTGAACGAGTAAATAGTCTTTCTTATAGCTCAGATCGTCATCTTTCACCTCATTTTTGAATCATCAGATTCCGAGTCCTAAAACTTGAGATACGTTATTTCTTGAAATAGACCCACATACCACGTTTTCGTTTTAATATCTTGATCCTGGTCGGTTGGTTCTTTGTTAACTTGGAGAATCACATCAATAATGTTCGGCAACAGTCCATAGTTCCTCATGGATATGATAAGGGTGTTCTTGGTGCTTCCCCTATTCAACTACCTCCATTTGCCATGCCTAACCCGACTATTCCTATGGTTACTTGTCATATTTGTAGTATGACTAGCCATACAACTATCTCTTGCCCGCAGCGTCATAATTATTCATTTGCTCCCACCACAACTCAAGCACACTTGGCAGTTTTGTCTCTCCATTCCGCGACTGACAGGAATTGGTACTTGGATTCGGGAGCGACCTCACACATGTATTTTGAGCAAGGTAATATTTCTTCTCCAACTCCTACTTTCAATAATTCTATACTTGTTGGCAATGGTGTATCAGTTCATATTCATTCTATTGGTTCTTACTCCTTGTCCACTTTGTCGCATACTTTTTCCTTGCCCTTTGTCTTATGTGTACCACTTTTTCGTAAAAAGTTACTTTCTGTTTGTCAATATACCAAAGATAATATTTGCTCAATTGAATTTTTTCCTCGGGGTTTTGTTGTGAAGGATTTGCAGACGGGAAAAATCCTCCACAAATGCCAGAGTGACGGGCCTCTCTATCCATTTTTTCGACTTGTTTCCTGCTCGTCCTCCTCTTCATCAAAAGCCCTTGTTGTCTCCTTGGTTCCTGCATCAGTTTGGCATGCTTGTCTTGGTCATCCAGGATCTATAGTCCTTGCGTCACTTAGGTATAAGAATTCTATTTCTTTTAATAATACAGGCCTTGGGTCGTTCTTTTGTAATTATTGTTTGTCTTTTAAGCATTTTACTTTACCATTTTCTATTAGTACTTCTTTTTCAACTCATGTGTTAAAGTTGATTCACTCTGAGTATGGATGTTACCCATTCCCTCGGTTACTAGATTTCGATATTATATTATTTATTGATGACTTTTCCAAGTATTTGTGGTTTTATCAATTGCGGAATAAAAGTGAATTTTTTCATTGCTTTTGTGCATTTAAAGCTCTGGTGGAAAAGCAATTTTCTGCTTCTATCAAATGTTTTTGTTCTGATGGTGGGGCAAATTCACTAGTGTGCAATTCTTGACATTTCTTTCTAGTAATGGTATTATTTTTCAGCAGTCTTGTCCTCACATACCACAACGTACAAAATGGTGTAGCTGAGTGCAAGCATCGCCATCTTGCTGATATGGCTCGTACTCTTCTTTATCATGCCAAAGCTTCGCTAAATCTTTGGGTTGAGGCTTTTCAAACAGCCACATACTTGATAAATCCGCTCTCGACTCCCTTACTCAATTATTCCTCTCCCTTTCGTCTTCTTTTTGGAATTGAT